TTTTGGTTTTCAGACTCCAGGTCTTTGCACATTTCATTATAGTAATTGGCTTTGTCTACTCGAGCTGCTCTTTGAAATCTTCTGTTCAGCCCTTTTACTTTTTCATTTCTTCCATTTGCTTTAGCTATTCTCTGCTCAAGGGCAAGGTTCACAGTCTCTTCTGTCATCCACTTTGGTCTTCTCTTCTGAGGATAGCTGAAACATTATAGTCAAAATGCATATACTTTGCAACATCAGTTAGGCTTATGATATGGAAGTTCTCTTCAATCCTTCATGAAAACCTGGATAGGTGACTCTTTTGCTTTTCAGTAATTCAGACATCCATACAACTCAGCAAACAGAAAAGCCCTAATCCACAGACATTTATTTGTAGGTACAAATGCCATCCACAAATGACCAGCCCAGAGGGAATGAAGAAAGTGAAAAATGGTTTCCAAACCACTGTGTTTTCTTTGGGCAGTCACTAGAAACAAATTGGGTGGGGGGAGAGGGAAGGCTTCCAGTGCTAGAGAGAAGCTTTTTATCATAGACAGAGAACAATGCACCAATTCATAAGCCATCTTGATAGGGCAGAAAGGCAGCTTTGTGAAAAGATTACAGGCGCTGTAGCTTGGCAGACATAGCCTGGCAGACAGGTGCAAATTCCCATGCTGGCTATCAATCTTTGAACTTGGGCAAGCTGTTTAACCTCTCTCACTTTCCTCATCTGTAAAATGAGATCATCATAGTTTATCTCCCTAAGTTATAAGAATTCACTGTAACAATATATGCAACTTTTTTTGTTGCTGACATATGATATAGTTCCGGACAAAATCAAAAGCTTAAGTGCCCTCATTAAAATCTTAGTTCCATTTTTTTTTTCCCCCAAGGGAGGCTCACATCACCTCCAGATCCCACCTTGGCCCATCCATATAAGTCTTAGGGAAAAAGACTATTGACGAAACAATATAATATATGGGTAATGAATGATCAAATCCATTGCCCTTGAGTCAATTCTGACTCACAGCAACCTTACAGGACAGAGTAGAACTGCCCCATAGGGTTTTTCAAAGCTGTACTTTTTTCTTTTTTTAATTTTATTGTGATTTGGGTGAAAGTTTACAGAGCAAATTCATCTTCCATACAGCAGTTCACATACTTTACCTCATAACATTGCCTGTTATCTCCTAAAATGCAACAGCTCTTCTCCCACTTCCTCCTGATAGGCACCTCTTCCCTGTGTCCTTCCCTCCATGCACTCCTGCCCCTGACCTGTCTCCCTGTGCATACACAGACCTTCTATTCTCCCATGACTGATCTCTCCAAGGAGTGGAACATTTACCTAATGTAAATGTTCAGCTCCTATGCCTGTCTTTTGTTTGTCTGGAAGCCATAGGAGTGGGTTCAGTTCCAAACCTGAAGGGCAGCTAGGAGCCATAGTCTCAGGGGTTCTACCAGGCTCTATCAGACCAGCAAACTTGGTCCCTTTTTTTTTTTTATGATTTTGAGTTTTGTTCTACATTGTTCTCCCACTCTATCCAAGATCTCCTACAGAGATCCCCCTCCAAGTGGCTGACAGTGGTAGCCGGGCACCATCTAGTTCTTCTGGTCTCATAGTTGTATAGGCTGAGGATCTCATGGTATACCAGTCCCTTGGACTAATTGTTCCCATGTGTCTTTGGCTTTCTTCATTCCTCTTTGCTCTGGATGAGGAGAGACCCATCATTTCAACTAGATGGCTGCTTGCAAGCTTTTAAGATCCCAGTCACTATTTGCTAAAGTAGGATGTGGAACAATGTTTTTGTATAGTATGTCATGCCAATTGAGCTTGATGTCCCCTGCAACCACGGTCCTGAGCCCACAGGTCCACCCTTGTCCCTTGTTAACTCTACTATATTCCTAGAAATTCTTACACAACCTACAAATACACTTGTAGAAATATTGTCTGTCAAGGCTATACTCTTTATGGAAACAGAGTGCCACATCTTTCAAACTACCAAACTCTTGGTTACCAGTCGAGTGCTTAACCACTGCACCACCAGGGCTCCTAATGAATGATACCAAACCAAACCCACTGCCATCAAGTTGATTCTGACTCATAACGACCCTATAGGACAAAGCCGAACTGCCCGCCCCATAGGGTTTCCAAGGTTATAAATCTTTACAGAAACAAACTGCCTCATCTTGCTTCCACAGAGCAACTGATGGATTCAAATTGCCAACTTTTGGTTAGCAGCTAAATGCTTTGACCACTATGCCACAAGAGCTCCTTAATGAATGATAAAGATACTGTTTTGTGGAACGCTCAGGGAGGTTTTACTAAGGAAGCTAGACCTTGAAAATAGGAATAATACAGATGGAGAATAAGAGAGGCTATTATTCTTCAGTGTGTGGTGAGGACAGGACTTACCGAGAAGACCTGAAGATAGGTTTGTTCATTTTGAGTGTGGTTGGCCAGCTGAGACACCCAGCTAAACTGTTCTTTCAGCTGGCTCAGCAGGGAGGAGGTGTTGAACATCTGCTGCTGGTAGGACTTAAGCAGTTCATCATAGTGCCTGGTGAATTTCTCAGCCATCTGGAGGGCAGTCTTAAGCTCCTGTCGCAGCTGGGCCTGAGCAGGGTTGCTAGCAGAACAGTCTGCATGGCGATTTAAAAAGCACATGAATGAGAACATGAATGGAAGGCAGCTCACACAGCCCAGATCTAAAGCAGTACTATTCCAAGTGGCAATCCACAAACGATTTACCAGTCCATGGCAAAATAAAGCGGAAGGTAACTCAACCTACTGCTTCATGAATAAAGTCTTGCTCTGGAAAAAGCTATCAGCTGAACTAGTGTGCTTAGTGGTATAACTGATTTATATTTAGGTGAAGGTCTATATCTCCTTATGGGCTGGGAACAGTGCTGAGTGAAGGAATACACATTGAATAGCATTGATCTGAAGTCTTCTGTGTTCTCAAACCAGGAGCTATTCTTGCTGCCTCTTGGGAATCATTTCAAGAAAGGGGTAATATTAATTATAGCTACCATTTGTGCAGCACCTACTACGTACCAGAAACCAGGTAAGGTGCTTTGAACATACATTTTCTCTAATAATCAGATCTACTATGATTTAAGTATTAACACTCCTATTTACTAGCAGTTAACATGTTCAGCTGTTAACTGAAAGTCTGGAGGTTTGAGTCCTCTCAAAGGTGCCTTGAAAGAAAAGCCTGGTGATCTAATGTCAACAAATCAGCCACTGAAAACTCCATGGAGCACAGTTCTACTACGACACACACTGACTGAGTCACCATGAGTCAGAACTGCCTTGACAGCAACTGGTTTATTTACAAACAGTAAAACTGAGGCCCACAGAAGTAAAGACTTTGCCTAAAGTCATAGAATTAAGGATTTGTGGAGGCAGGATGGAACCTATGTCTTGAACTCCTAAACTTGGGCTCTTCCTACTCTGAGTGTGGTTCTGGATCATTCTTCTAGCTTGTCTTTTGAGCATATTTGTAGAGTTAAGAGATTCTGACCCCAAGAGCTCACACAGCAGAATGGCACTCAGGCTACACAGCTTTCCTCAGTATCGCAGGCTGGTTGGCAAGGAGTCCTAACCTGCCCACCTGCCCACCCACAGCTGGTCACCAAGCTTATCAGGAGACCAAGAAAGAGAGAGTTCATTCTTCTAGTTCCCAAGTGCCTACTGCAGTTTGATATATTTAGAAGAGCTGGAAACTACTATCCATCTCTGTAAAAACTACAGTTTTTCTCCCCCTAATTTATTTTACAAATATCCAGAGGAGGGAAAAGTGTCCAAAGGGTACATCAAACCTAAAGGAGCTGGGGGAAAGAGGATCTTTGCACATTTCACAATGGTTGAATGCTGTTGTTATTGTTGTTGTTATGTGCTGTCAAGTTGTCTCCAACTCGTAGAGACATTAGACACAACAGAACGAAACACTGCCCGTCCTGTGCCAGCCTCACGATCCCTACTATACCTCAGCCCATCACTGCAGCCACCATGTCAGTCCATCTTGGTGAGGGCTGTGGTAGTTCAGTTTGTGTGCCAACTTGGCTGGGCCTGGTTGAGTGGCTGTGTAGCTGGATGTAGTATTCCCCTTGATGAGACTGGTAATCAACTCCATGGTGGAATCTACTGTGAGCAACTGAGTAGCTGCCCAGTCTAGAGGAGTGGTTCTCAACTAGAAAAAAAATTCCCCTCAGGGGACATCTGGCAATATCTGAAGATATTTTTGATTGTCACAACTCAGGAGGAGTTGCTGCCAGCATCTAGTGGGTAGAGACCAGGGATGCTGGTAAACATTCTACAATGCACAGGGTAGCCCCCACAACAAATAATCATCAGCCCAAAATGTCAATAATGCTCAAGTTGAGAAATCCTAGTTTAGAATTCCCCTTCAGTACATACTCATATAGTTGAAAACACACACACACACACACACACACACACACACACACAAATCCATAGCCATCAAGTTGATTTTGACTCATGGTAACCCCATGTGTTACAGAGTAGAACTTAACTCTATAGGGTTTTCTCTGCTATAATCATCAGCATATCCTCAAGCCTTTGGGTTAGACTACCAGCGGTTTATTGTGGGATTAAAATCAAAAAAGGTGTGTGTCAGGGTTGTATCCTTTCACCATACTTACTCAATCTGTATGCTGCACATATAATCCAATAAACTGGACTATATGAAGAACAGAACATGGCATCAAGACTGGAGGAAGACTCACCAACAACCTGAGATATGCAGATGGCACAACCTTGCTTACTGAAAGCAAAGAGGACTTGAAGCACTTACTGCTGAAGATACCAAAGACTATAGTCTTCAGTATAGAGTGTGTCCCAACATAGAGAAAACAAAAATCCTCACAACTGGACAAATAAGCAACATCATGTTAAATGGAGGAAAGATTAAGTTTTCAAGGATTTTACTTCAATCCACAATCAACGCCCATGGAAGAAGCAGTCAAGAAGTCAATGGCGTATTAAATCAGGCAAATGTGCAAAAGGTTTCTGTAACTGTTAAAAAGCAGAGATGTCACTTTGAGAACTAAAGCGCACCTGACCCAAGCTATGGTATTTTCAATCACCTTATATGCACACAAAAGCTGAACAATAAGGAATAAGGAAAACTGAAGAAGAATCAATGCCTTTAAATTGGGTGTTGGTGAAGAATATTAAATACATTATGGACTTCCAAAAGAACAAACACATCTGTCTTGGAAGAAGTACAGCCAGAATATTCCTTGGAGGCGAGGATGGTGAGACTTTAACTCATGTCCTTTGGACGTGTTATTAGAAGGAACCAGTCCCTGAATAAGGGCATCATTCTGGTAAAGTAGAGGGTCAATGAAAGAGAGTAAGGCCTTCAACAAAATGGATTGACACAGTGGTTGCAATAATGGGCTAAAGCATAGCAATGGTTGTGAGGATGGCTCAAGACTGAACAGTGTTTCATTCTGTTTAACATAGGATCACTATGAGTTGCAACCTACTTGACAGCATCTAATAAGAAAAATCTGTATTTCTCCTTACTTGAGCCTTTCATGGCACTAGTGTTTATTTTGCAGTGGCTTCTAAAATGACAGGAATGAGGCTAGGAATATTTAACTAGACTCCCAAGGTCTGCCCTGGCAAACCCAAACATATTAAGTAAGCACAAAGCCACAAGATTGATAAGCTATTTACAGGGGAAACAATTAACCCTTTCCAAGTATGTACCAGGAACTATCCTATATACTTTTATCTGTTATCTCAGAGCAGGAAGAATTTAGTCAATGTCCAGATCTAATAAAATAAGGGGAACAGCTGAAGTAAAATATTTTCTCTCCATAGAGGAAATACCACAACTTGTCAGTCAGGTGGCCCTGAGGCCTCCAGGGATCCCTGAGGAGACAACACAGCATACAGGTCAAGAACACATCTCAAACACCTCAGTTTGAATCCCAGCTCCCCCCCAGTTGGGAGTGAAATAATCTTGGGCAAGTTAGTGAACCTTTCCATGATTCAGTTTTCTGCTCTGTAAAACAGAGACAATAACTATAGCCACCTCATAAGGTTGTTACAAGGAAAGGACTATATGTTTGCAAAATATCCAGAACAGTGTCTGACATATGGTTGTATCAGTTAAACAAAATACATACTGTCTCTCTGAAATTCCTTAATTTGCAGAGAAAATTGAGGATGGCTATTATGCTTGGCCTACCACCTATCTGTCAGTTTGTTGTACTGTGGTGGCTTGCATGTTGCTATAATGTGGAAGCTATGCCACTGGTATTATAATGCTGAAAGATGAGTCCAGCTGGCAGAAGAGGCACCCAAATTGCACAATGGCTGCAACAAATGGACACGAACATACCAACAATCATGAAGATGGGGAAGGACTGAGCAGCATGAAGTCTTGTACATGAAGTCACCTTGAGTCAGAACCTACTTGATGGCAACTAACAACAATAACAGCAATAACAAGAAATCAAAGGATGATGCCTTTTTAAAAAAAAAAAAAAAGCACAGCAGTACTACTTCAGATTACCTGCTTACCAAATGTCAGATGATGTGGTAGGCAGTGCCCATAATGTTTCACTGACTTCAAGACAACTCTTTTTTTTTAAAAAAAACTGGGTTTTGTTTTTTTTTTTAATTGTGATTTAGGTGAAAGCTTACAGAGCAAATTCACTTTCCATACAGCAGTTCACACACACGTTATCTCATGACATTGACTAAAATTTACCACAATGCAACAGCTCCCCTCCCACTTCTTCCTGATAGTTACCTCTTCCCTGTGTCCATCCCTCCATGCACTCCTGCCCCCTGAGCTGTCTCCCTGTGCATAAACTGGCCTTCTTCTCCCATGATTGTTCTCTCCAAGGAGTGTATCTACCTCAGGTACATGTTCAACTTTTATGCCTGCATTTTGTTTGGCTGGAAGCCACAGGTGTGGGTTCAATTCCAGACTTGAAGGGCATTTAGGGACCACAGTGTCTCAGTGACAACACTGCTTTTTAACCTCATTATTTAAAACAAAAAACAGTTGTGGTGAAGTTGACTCCAACTCATGGCGACCCCAGCGTGTCAGAGTAGAACTGCACTCCACAGGGTTTTCAATGGCTGATTTTTCAATAGATCACCAGGCCTTTCTTCCAAGGTGCCTTTGGATGTGCTTGAACCTCCAACCTTTCAGTTACAAGCTGAGCATGTTATCATTTGCACCAAATACGACTCCATTCCCATTATACAGATGAGGAAATCAGGCTGAGTAAGGCTAAGGACTTGCCCATGGTCCCACAGCTAGAAGACAACAGAGCTGGAATTTGAGCTCCTGTCTAATGCCATAAAGGGGCTGACTCAGAGAGTAAACTGTGACCCAAAGACACAAGCAATACTGATGGGAGCTTCCAATCTGGCCTCTCAACTCACCCACTGATAAGATCTCCCTGCACTTCTCACACTGATTCTTCATCTTCAGGCATCCCGTGGAGTTGCGGCGCATTTCCCTGCACACGAGGCGGGTATCATTGTTTCCTACAGACAAAGAGGAAAGAGGCCATCGTGATATGGGAGTCAGAAATCCAGAGATGGGTCACACCTATTTCTCTGAACTGTTCCATACTATTGTATGGCCCTTTCAGAGGGTTCTGTGGTCAGAACAGACTGGAATTTGGGGTAAGCATGCATGCAGACCTGGGCCTCTGACCAGGGGTCCCCTGCCAAATGACCAGGAGGTAGCCTAGGTCAGGGACTGCACAGGGCAGAGTACACATGGTACCCTGGATATGGTCCTAGTCTACCTGCCTCCAGGCTATGCCCACATGGCTTCCTCAGCTGGGTATGGCCTCCCTTTCCACCCTCTCCTTCTGATGAGGCTTCCCTTCATCCCTACACCCTCATTTGTGTGCACCTCTCTTTGGCATCATAACGTATCTTGCCCTGCATTCTACCTAGCTCATTTTTCTTCCACTAGCCAGTCAGCAAGCCCAGTAAAGGCAGAAACCAGGTCCTCCTTCTAGCCTCTTATGAATATGCAGCAGAAGCCTTTTTTAATTCAAGGCCTTCTTGTATTTCCAAACCATTTCAATCCAAACAGGTGCCAGGCAAACCATAAAGGATGGTGCTAGCCAATATATATTTATCAACCGAATAAAGAAAATCACAGCTTTTCTTGCCCACATTAAACCAGTTGCTGTCAAGTCGATTCTGACTCTTGGCAACCTCTTATGTGTCACATAAGAGCTGGGTTTTTAATGGCTGATTTTTCAATAGATCTCCAGTACTTCCTTCCAAGGAGCCTGTGGGTGGACTTGAACCTCCAACTTTTAGGTTAACAGTGAAGAGTGTTAACCATTTGTAACACCCAGAGACTCCTTTGCCCACATTAGAGTCATTCATTCAGAAAAATATTCATTGAGGACCAATTCTGTACCAGGCCCTAAGGTTAGGCTATGGACACTTTCCATAATTTGTCACCAATATGTCAATGGCCTCCACATAAAGCTACCAGGGAAGGGTGCTCTGGTTTTTTGGAAGGAGTAGTCAATGTAACACTTAGCAGTTGCTGGGAAGGGACATGGTAGACAGGAAAGAACAAATTTTAAGTACTAGGTTTGACTGGATCCCACTTTATTAGCTGTGAAACTTGAACACAGTCCTTTACCTTTCTTCATTTTCTCCTTTTTAAATGGAGATGATACTATCCTCCCAGGGTTACTGGAGAAAAACTGAAATGGCACATACAAAGCCACCTGGAATGGTTCATAGCATCTAATGAGGGTGCTCAGTGAGCATTCAATAAATAGTTAGTTCCCATCCCATTTCTATAAAGAGTAAGACATCTTTCAAACCTGTTTCAAATTCTCCCATCAGGGGTTGGTGGGAGAGATCCATGGCCTGTTGAGCCCGCTGTATCAGTTCAGAGAAGGGCTGGAACAAATCCAGGAAGTTCAGGGGTTCATGAGCAAAGAAAGGCACTATGTCCCGGACCACACGGGACTTGGGATAGAAGAAGTGGGTTTTATGAAAAGAATTGTCATGGAAAGAGCTGAAGGGTGAGTGGAAGAAAGGCTTCGGGGGCTCCAGCCTGAAGAACCTGCTCTGGAATAGTTCGTCCATCACTCTGGACACTTGGCTGAACCTGTCCTCCATGGCATCCAGCATGTGGGTCTGCTCCTGGTCATTCTCCAGCAGGGTGTCAACACGGTCACCATCAATCCAGATGTCAAAAGGAGAGGCCTGGTTCAGGAACTCCTCAAGCTGCAAAAGCCAAAATAGGCCACAATTAGGAGAGGCTCACTAAGGCCACAGCATTCCCTTTTGTTGAGACAGGCCAGGCATGGCCCCTTGCTATGTCTCGGTCTCCTTATAGTCACACAGCAAGTGACCAAAGGCCAATCTGGGACTGGCCTCCAGGTATTCAAACTGTCAGGTCAATGCCAATGCCCTTCCATTCTACCTCCTCCAGTGGGAAAGAGTTTAGAGATACCTGTGAGGCCTGGAAACATACAAGGCCTGTCACTTCAGACTAGTCCACTGTCATCTTTGGCCACTAATGAAGCATAGCCAGGCTGGGCTGAAGGCCAGCTGACATGCCTTTAGATAATGTCAAAATTCATCTGAGTCTCAGCCAAGTGAGGCCCACAGGTAGAAACAGGATCAATGTCAATATATTAAAAAGACTCAAATTCCTTCCTTCTGCCTTCAAGGACACAGGGCCCTGCCATACTTTGAAACCATGTATTATGATATCCAGCTAATTACTGCTGACTAAGAGTCTACTTAGAGATGGCAAATAACTGGCATAGGTGCTTTTACTCTATGTTTCTGTACTCATAGTAGATATTACCAATTACGGCACTTTGGTCCAAGTCAGTTGTATGTGGCATGTGGCACATTTACCCTAAACTACTATAATGAGAGTAAAGGTAAAGTCTACCTCATTCCTGATTGGTACTTCTTCCAACAATAGTCCGGGTCTGTGGTCAGAGCTGAGGAAGCATTTGTTCCTCCACTTACTCTGGGACTTCCCTACATGGCCTGGACTTTAATCTACCTTGGAGTAAAGACCAGAAACTAAAAGATGACCCACTTAAGGTCAGAGGCCTATTTTTTCAAGCCCTCATTCCCCACTCAGAGCCTAAGCTGTGCTAAATAAGTGTCTCCCCTTTTACCTGGTGGCCCACAGCGGGAGAGCCACTTCTGCAGATGCGAGTGTAGAACTTCATGCAGGTCTGTTTCAGGCAGGGTTTACATTCCTCCCAGAGGGCCGTCATGGTATCATTGCACACTTCTGGGGACGCCTTTAGCTTCATTTCGGTATCCCTGGTCATCTTCACTGCATCCTATAGGTGGACACAGGCTAGGTTAGCTCCCTCCTCCTCCCAAGCAGTGCTGTGTGCAATGCCTGCCCCCTCAACCACCCAGGCAGACCTTCCTCCTGTCTGACCAACATAGCATGCTGGTCCCCACATCCTAGCATCTCCTCCATAAGGGATACAAAAAAAAAAAAAAAAAAAACTTACTACTGTCAAGTTGGATCCAACTCACAGTGATCCCTCATTGGGTTTCCGAGGTGGTATCACTACAGAAGCAGATTGCCCAATCTTCCTTCCAAGAAGCAGCTGGTGGGTTTGAACCACTAGCCTTCTGGTTAGCAGTCAGATGCCTTAGCAGTCAAATGCCTCAGGCACTATGCTACCAGAGCTCCTTCCATAAGGGATAGGGTGGCAACAAAAACAAAAAACCCACTGCCATCGAGTCCATTTTGACTCACAGAGACACTACAGGACAGAGTAAAACTGTTTTCAAGGCTATAAATGTTTACAGAAACAGATGACCTCATCTTTTCCCACTGGTGGGTTTGAACCAATGACCATTTGGTTAGCAGCCTAATGCCTTAGCCATTGCACCACCAAAACTCCTGGCAGGATGCAATAAAACCCAAAACCTACTACCATCAAGTCAATTCCAACTCATAGTGACCCCCAGTGTGTTTCCAAAGCTGTAAATCTTTACATAATTAGATTGCGTCATCTCCTACCACAGAACAGCTGGTGGGTTTGAACCATTGACCTTCTAGTTAGCAGCCAATTGTCTTACCCACTATGCCACCAGAGCTCCTGTTAGGGTAGCAAATAGGAGTATGTAATTTAGGATACCCTTAGAAATTACTGAATTTTTAAAATAAGTTGTTTATTGAATGTGTTTTCATTTTATTGAATCATTAAGCACAGGTCTGGATAGTGTAAGCGATTAACTTGCCTGGCAGCTAACCAAAAGGTTGGAGGCTTGAGTCTACCCAAAGGTGCCTGCTGATCTACTTCCAAAAAATCAAGACATTGAAAATTCTAGGAGCACAGTTCTGACACACATGGGGTCATCAACGACAGACTTGAGAGCAAATGTGTTTTTTAGACTCACTATGTTCACTTTCAGACTTAAGGTGTCTCTTTATGAAGTAGTCTACAGCTCTAAAAAGACATGGGGAAAGCTGGTATTTGCTTATCTTAACCCTGACCATATCCCCCTTACTAGATAAAAGCCTCCTGAAGGTCCAGGGCTTCATCCCTCCCCTCACCTCGGCCATCACTCAAAGCCTAACTTGGAGCTTGCACATGGCAGGGGTTTAGAGAAAAACCTACTGAAGTGAATCTGGCACGAGGCCCTGGGCCAGATCTATAACAAAACCAGATGCAGAACCTTCCCCTCCTGAAGCTTTCAAAAGCTAATAAGCCTTTTGTATTACTTCACTAAATCCCTAGAGCCAGCTGACTCAGTCCTAGGTAGACTGAAGATCACCATGGCAACCCAGCAAGGCCTCCCATAAATTATGGATTATCCCTCCATCCCCTCCAGCAAGGTAGCAGCTGTGGTCACCTGGCTCATCCTTACCTCTTTCTGCTTCTTGGCTTTCTCTAAGGTGTTGAGCAGTGTCTGACGCTCTTCATCTGTTTGGTCCATTAGATTCTTTATCTCTTTCATCCCCTTGAGGGCATTCTGAATTTCTTCATCAATGTACTTACTCCCCTCAGTGGACATTTCTGCAACAGAAGGGCAGAGAGGTAGAATAAGGCAGAAGAAAGAAAGATAGCTTTGGGGATATAACCATGGTACCAGCTGGAATGAGCAGGAAGTTGGGTTTGACCCAGAGGCTGTCAAGGCTGGGACCCCAGGCAGGCAGCCTCCTGGCCCCAGCATTACCTAACAGATTCCCATCCCCAGGTTCACTGCATTTCATACACAGAGGAGGAGCCCAAGGGCCCAAGAGTCAATGACATCTGGGTGCAGAAACACAAACCATTGGCAGCCCCCTGGAGAATGGCAGCTGTGCTATGTCCAACCACTGCTCTGTGACTCTGGAGAATGAGCCAGGCCACAGAAGAAAATTTAGAAGGAAAAAAAAAAAAAAAAGGAAGCACAACTTAGTCAGCATTAAAACATAGTATTGTTATTTTGGATACAAATCTTTTAGAATTCAGTTTAAATAAACATTTGTACTTCAAACAAGGCACCCTGCTAGGTGACGGGAATATAAAGATGAATTAACAGTTCCTTTCCTCAAAGAGACTATGAGTAACACAAAACACTCTTCTTGTGACAAATGCAATGAGAGATATGTCATCCAAGTACCCAAGGAATAACAGCCTATGCTTATCTAGTACTCATGCTGTACCAAACACTGAGCTGGCACTTCACATACATTTTCTTTAATATGCCCAGTGCCATCATCATCCTCATTTCACAAATAAGGAGGAGGAAGCATAGTAAGATATGTGTCCAGAGTCATAGCTAGGAAGTAGTGGAGCCAGGACTCATATCCAGCCCTGATCTCAAAGTTTGGCCTTTTAACCACTAAAACCAAACCCAACCCACTGCTGTCAAGTCGATGCCAACTCATAGTGACCTTATATATTTAACCAGTAGCTTAGAAGAACTGGTCAGCTATTAGGAGGAAGATGGAGTGGAGGGAGAATGGTTTTTAGGTAAGGTCTCTCTGTAAAGGAGACCACCAAGCTGAGCCCTGAAGGATGACTATTCTTTATACCAAACTGCATATTCCCTTCCTGCCCTTGTGAGCTGAGGATATGAAGCATGATTATCTAAGTGGAAAGGTGGAGGATTGAACCATGTCGTAAGCACTAGGGAAATACAAAAAAGGGAGATCAATAACACTTCAAAGGGTCCAGGGACAGCTGTGTAGAGGAAGGAGTGGGAGGAGCTGGGCTTCCAACATAAAGGAGGTTGTAGCCAGCTGAGGGGGAGCTCTGGTAGCATAGTGGCTAAGACACTTGCCTGCTAACCAGACGGCTGGCGGTTCAAACCCACCAGCCACTCCTCGGAAGGAAGGTTGGGCAATCCTACTTCCGTAGTGATACTGCCTCGGAAACCCAAGGAGGGGTCGCTATGAGTCGGGTTTGACTCGACGGCACATAACAACAACAACAACAACAGCCAGCTGAGGGGACTGGGAACTGAGTGAAATGCAGTAGCCAGAAAGGGCTTTGCCTTGCTGGGAAACGTCTAGAAGCCAACCTGACCACAATAGCCTAATGCAGGGAGCAGAGGCCGAGAAAGGGACTCAGGCAGAGGAAATCAGACCTGATGCACAAGATGCAAATAGTCTTTAACACTTGGGGTTCTGACAGAGAGTTATTCAGCCAGAAAACTGGCTCTAGGCCAGGCACTGTGCTAAGGAGGGGCTCCCTACAAGGTCGAAGGATATCATGCTTTGCCTACTCACGCTGAAGCTCATTGGCTGAGACAGTCTCCTCTCCCAGGACTTGTCCTTTCTCCCCAGTCAGCAGCAGCCCCAGAAGCAGCAGAGGAAGAAGAGTCTTCATCTTGCCGTCTTCTCCTTCTGGAAACCTAGCAGGTCCCTACATGGAGAGGACAGGAAAATGTCATGGTAACAGGTTAGTCAGCCTTCCAGCTTCCTGTCCAGCCTGGTGCCCAGCCTGCTGCCTGTAGGAGCTTCCAAGGAATGCAGAGCCCTGACTTTGCTGTTGTCACTGTATTTTCATTCTTGAGGAAATTAGTAAAAACACACCAAAGATTTCATTGGATGCCTCCAAAAAAAAGTGAAGACAGTAGGTACAAGGCATGAACTCCAGGACAGCAGCACAATATAGAAGGAACAACACCTGGGAGTCAAGACACCTGGCTCCAACCCAGCCCTCTTCCTCTTCCCGTAAAAGCTATATATACCTAAGCAAATGACAAGAGCTTTTTGTATCTTGGCCTCCTTGTGTAGAAAATGCATCTCTCTGATGATACCTACTCTTACCAAACACTAAAACCTCCCTGCTCCCCACTAAAGTGGTGACTGCATCCCAGGGCTCTGATAAGTCCCACACTGCTTTTTGGCATCACTTGTCCTTACTCATAGCAGACATTACTAATCAACCACAGCCATTTTTTACCCCCCCATCCCCCCCCCCCCCCCCCGCTGGGCCTCCTTGCCACCTAAAATGTCTTTTCAAGAGACAGTAACAACCAACTCTTTGTGTTGGAACAGGAAATTAAACCCATTTGGAAATTGAGCCAAGCTGAGTGTGGATTCAGAAGTATAAATAAAGACTACTGGGAGGGAAATGCTCTGCAGGGAGTGGAGAGGGAAGAGTAAAGGAAGGGAACATCAAAGTGAAAGGGTTAACAATGAGTCCAAGGAACAAACCTGGGCCCCAACAGTTCCCAGGAAAAGTCCCTCTGGGAGGACATGTCCTTTAGCTTTACCAGGCCCCTTTTCATATGCCCTTTCCCATTAACTCCAGACCCACACCTTGCCAAGATGTTCCTGCCACCACTCTGCCAACTGCCCTGAGCTAGGGGATCCAGGCCACAGGCTCAGTCTTACACAATGGACTCAAGATATTGCACAAAGCACAAACCCTTCCTGCTCCCCTCCTCCACTGCTTATCTCAACACACCCATTTCCCATAATAGGAGGGAAAGCCCCCACCCCTCTTTCCTGAAACTGCTCCCATCAAAAAACCACTCTCCAATCATCAGGCCCGTCTTGGTAGAACAATAATAAAGAAAGCCTCTCATGAACAGTAGTTAGTTAGGTGTCAAAGTTGTTGTTCTCAAAGCAAACCCTTACAGTGAAGGAGAGATGTGGGAGGAGAGGGCAGGGTCATCACCTTCCCCAAAGACAGGGTGGGTGGCTGGAGACAGGGCACTATTTCAAGCATACTGGGAAGGCCCTGTCTCAATAGGCTCTGCCGTGCTGTTCTGCTGTTCGCTGAGGCCTGAAATGCCTCAAGTAGGGACAGAGCCTTTGTCATGCCAGAGAGATAAAGCAAGCAAAAATACCTCTCTGGAAGAGAACTCTGGCAGCAACAACTGAGAAATCCATAGAAGATTCTCTGAAGTAGGTTCTGACCAGAGAGAGAGTGTGGGGCCCTGAAGAAAAGAGAGGCAGAACATCCAAGGCAAGATGAGGAGACCAAAGACAGCAACTGGTAGAGGGTTTCCCAGCAGGACCCTGAGGACCTCGGTCAGCCGTAAAGCTCAGAGCAGGAGAAGAATTCATTCCTACCCAACCTCTCTGCCTTACGGGGAGGTTGAAACCCAGGCAGGATGGGGCTCCCTGAGTCCCACAGGAAGCTCGTGGCAACCCCAGGATGAAAAGTCAGCTCTCCCAATTCCCAGTCCAGTGTTCTTTCCTGGGCAGTAAAAAACTCAATGCCATTGAGTCAATTCCGACTCCTAGCAACCTCCGTTGGGTTTCTGAGGTAGTGAATCTTTATGGAAAAAGATTGCCCCATCTTCCTTCCACAGAGCAGTTGGTGGGTTTGAACTGCTAACTTTCTGGTTAGCAGTCAGATGCCTTAAGCACTGTGCCACCAGAGCCCCTTTCCTGGGCAGCAAGTCACTTAAATTTCTGAACCTCAGTTTCTTTACCTGTAAAATGGACATAAAATATTCTTCTGAGATGTGAGTGTATTTTATAAACACAAAAGTCATATATAAAATTTGACCTAGGACCAATTCTGGTCATTGGTAGTGGTAACACCAATGTGGAGGGGGTAACATGTCTGTAGAGGGGCAGAGGAACCAAAACAGATAGGCTGCTTTTGGTCCTTGCTCTGTCTGTGTGTCTTTGGCTTAGAGAAACACGGGTCCTGCCCAATTATCTGCTGAGGGCTTCTCAAAGTTTCAAGTGCCTGCAGATCACCTTGTTAAAATGCTGATTCTGATTTAGTAGGTCTGGGGCAAAGCTCCAGACTGTGCTGTTCTAATGAGCCTGCAGATGTTATTGATACTGCTGGTCCAAGGGCAGTACTAGAGCAATGGCTACACAGCCCAACTGCCCGCCCTCTCCCCTGACTCACTTCCCCTGTCAGCTCCCAGCCATCAGGGCTGCCACCTGCTCTGATTGGATGAGCCACACTGAGGCCCTTCTTTCCCCACCACTACTGCACAGCCTCCTTCCACACAGGGAGGCTTAAAGCAACTGGTCTGGCTCCTTCCATTAGCAAAAGCTGGTCCTGTGGGTGATGGAGCAGTGAAGGAGGAGTACAAGGAGATGGAGAAGCAGAAGGTTGATTCTAAGAGCAGTTTTCTTGCAGGCACACCCTCCTCAGAGCGTTTAACTCCCCAGCCCCCCATAAGGCTCCCAAGCACCACCCCTAAAGCGAGAAGGCATCTCAGCAGGGCAGGATTAGGGGTTTTAAGAGATCAATTAAGTGGTAGAGGGAGCCCTGGAAAGGACACAGAGACCTTAAAGTACAGAGGTCGCAGTCGCACAGCCAGCAAGCTGCAGACCTAGGTCTGATGCCAGCGCCCAAACACCAATCTTACTGGCTCCCTAAATGTAGAAAATCAAATCCAAAAAGAAAAAGTGAGAAAAGAAGTCATCTGTAAAGTCATACTATCTGGAGGCAAATAACATCTTTAATATTTCCTTCTATTTCCTATGCATTTTTATATAATTAAATCCTTTATATCCATTGTCTTCAAATATTCTTTAAAAGCGTATGTTTATGGTTGTATAATGCTTTATTTTCTAATGTACCCTAGTTTATTTTATCATTCCTATAAAATTTGGGAATTTAAGTTGTTTCTAATTCCCTATTATTATAATTAACACTTTCATGAGTATCCTTCTGTAGTATCTGTACTTACTCTTAAATTCCTAAGACCTTTTAAAATTAAATTGAAAGGAATTTTAAAATTCCTTTTTTAAAAAAATCAGCTTCTTTTTTATTAGGTGCAAAAATTCTAGAAGGTCAAGACTTCAATTCTAGTGAATGGGCACCAATTCTCACACTTAATTGCTTTTTAATTTTTGAGAAAGTCCTAAATCTCTAGGCTTCAGATAACCATCTATAAAATGTGACTGTTGTATTACAGGTTGTACGCCTGTTCTCTGGTGCAAAGCAGGTGGCTGTACCATATATTTAAATCCAAAGCATCATACTTACAAACATATTATCCAGAAAAGGCACAATTTACAGAAAACAAGATGACTCATACCTGCAGACCAACAACTACAGCAGAGATCAGTATCTTCATAGGGAAAATGGGGTAGGAAGAGGCTGAAAGCTGGCCCCAGGTCCACCACTCACTAGCTCTGTGGACTGGGGCAATCCAGCCCCGTTTTCCAAGTCTCAGCTGCTTCATCTTTTTAAAAAGAGGATCATTATTACACTTGTCCTACTTATCCGACAGAAATGTGGTTGGAGCTAACGAGCCCAAGGATTCCTGAGGCCCTGGCTGTGCGCCGCCTTGCCATCCCAGAGCCCCAGCAATTCAGCACCTTGATCAGCTGCATTGTGACGGGCCTCCGGCCACCTCCTTTCCTGGGTTTCCCTTGGTGTTATGTGCCCTGGAGTCAGACCCGGCTCATTTCCGAGGTTTTATCACTACGGAAGTAGATTGTCCAACCTTCCTTCTGAGAGGCTGGTGGGTTTGAACCGCCAGCCTTCTGGTTAGCAGTCAAGTGTCTTAGGCACTAGGCTACCAGAGCTCCCGGGCTTCTTTTAGGCTCTCTTAAACACGGCTTTTCTTCCCCAATGGCTGCCACCTCCCACCCTCCCACCCGTCCCGGTGTAGTCTCTGTACAGGGATGGGGAAGATTGGGAAGTACACCTCACCGGTCCCCTGCACCGGGCTTCTGTGCGTTCCTCCTCGCGGCAAGGCTGCGTCGTAAGCACTGGGAAGGCGCCGGTATTTATAGCGCTCTGCCTAGCACACACCCCCTCTGGGGCTGGCTGCAAACCTGCCTGACTCAAGCCCAAAGAATGCCGTGGAATGCGCACGGAGCTTTCTGGAAAACGGCACTGGGTGTGGGCGGAGGGGCAGGCGATGCAGCACCAGGCGTGAGACTCTGGGGGGCGTATGGGCACCGCGAATGGCACGCAGCCTCTTTAGACCCAGAGGTGCTGTGGCGCACCACTCCGGGAAGCTCAGGTTTGGAGGTAGTCGCCCCAGGAGCATTAGTTAATGCGTGCACAGCTCGTCTTCCCTCGTTTTACCTCCCAGGGTCCCTCTCCACAGGGTTAGTATCCCCTGTGCTCCTGGCTAGTCCTCAGTCCAAAATAAAATTTCACAGTTCCCCTGTTCCATTGAACACTATTACTCACACTGAACACGCATCACTTCTCTTGTCCCATTTAAATAGCAATGTCAGAAATAATGAGGATGGGATGGAGAAGGTTGTTGTGCTAGAGAAGTAAATGCGTAAGAGTGAATTACTGAAATCCTGATTCCCTGAACTACCCCATTGACCTGGTGGTTCCTTCTCAGACCTGCCAGGCCATGAGGAAACAGAAACGTGTTTAGGAATCAACAGCAGAAATCTGAGGAACCAGAGGATCTCTTAGGGCTGCTTGAATCA